CAGACCAATAGCACTAACATCCCATATCATAAAAATCTTTGAAAGGGTCCTAAGAAGCAAGATCCCACGCATCTAGAAACCCATCAGTTACACAACCCAGGGCAACATGGGTTTAGAACAGGTCGCTCCTGTCTGTCTCAACTATTGGACCACTACGACAAGGTCCTAAAATGCACTAGAAGACAAAAAGAATGCAGATGTAATATATACAGACTTTGCAAAAGCCTTCGACAAGTGTGACCATGGCGTAATAGCGCACAAAATGCGTGCTAAAGGAATAACAGAAAAGTCGGTCGATGGATCTATAATTTCCTCACTAACAGAACACAGAGAGTAGTCGTCAACAGAGTAAAGTCCGAGGCAGCTACGGTGAAAAGCTCTGTTCCACAAGGCACAGTACTCGCTCCCATCTTGTTCCTCATCCTTATATCCGACATAGACAAGGATGTCAGCCACAGCACCGTGTCTTCCTTTGCAGATGACACCCGAATCTGCATGACAGTGTCTTCCATTGCAGACACTGCAAAGCTCCAGGCAGACATCAACCAAATCTTTCAGTGGGCTGCAGAAAACAATATGAAGTTCAACGATGAGAAATTTCAATTACTCAGATATGGTAAACATGAGGAAATTAAATCTTCATCAGAGTACAAAACAAATTCTGGCCACAAAATAGAGCGAAACACCAACGTCAAAGACCTGGGAGTGATCATGTCGGAGGATCTCACCTTCAAGGACCATAACATTGTATCAATCGCATCTGCTAGAAAAATGACAGGATGGATAATTGAACCTTCAAAACTAGGGAGGCCAAGCCCATGATGACACTCTTCAGGTCACTTGTTCTATCTAGGCTGGAATATTGCTGCACACTAACAGCACCTTTCAAGGCAGGTGAAATTGCCGACCTAGAAAATGTACAGAGAACTTTCCACGGCGCGCATAACGGAGATAAAAACACCTCAATTATTGGGAGCGCTTGAGGTTCCTAAACCTGTATTCCCTGGAACGCAGGAGGGAGAGATACATGATTATATACACCTGGAAAATCCTAGAGGACTAGTACCGAACTTGCACACGAAAATCACCCATACGAAAGCAAAAGACTTGGCAGACGATGCACCATCCCCCCAATGAAAAGCAGGGGTGTCACTTAGCACGTTAAGAGACCATACAATAAGTGTCAGGGGCCCGAGACTGTTCAACTGCCTCCCAGCACACATAAGGGGGATTACCAACAGACCCCTGGCAGTCTTCAAGCTGGCACTGGAACAAGCACCTAAAGTCAGTTCCGGATCAGCCGGGCTGTGGCTCGTAGTTGGTTTGCGTGCAGCCAGCAGCAACAGCCTGGTTGATCAGGCTCTGATCCACCAGGAGGCCTGGTCTCAGACCGGGCCGCGGGGGCGTTGACCCCCGGAACTCTCTCCAGGTAAACTCCAGGTAATATAGACAAATGCAAAGTTCTAAATGTTGGACAGGACAATAACCATGCCACATATAAACTAAATAATGTAGATCTTAATATTACGGATTGCGAAAAAGATTTAGGAGTTCTGGTTAGCAGTAATCTGAAACCAAGACAACAGTGCATAAGTGTTCGCAATAAAGCTAATAGAATCCTTGGCTTCATATCAAGAAGCATAAATAATAGGAGTCCTCAGGTTGTTCTTCAACTCTATACATCCTTGGTTAGGCCTCATTTAGATTATGCTGCACAGTTTTGGTCACCGTATTACAGAATGGATATAAATTCTCGGGAAAAATGTACAAGGAGGATGACAAAGTTGATCCCATGTATCAGAAACCTTCCCTATGAGGATAGACTAAGGGCCCTGAAACTGCACTCTCTAGAAAGACGTAGAATTAGGGGGATATGATTGAGGTGTATAAATGGAAGACAGGAATAAATAAAGGGGATGTAATAGTGTGCTGAAAATATCTAGCCTAGACAGGACTCGCAGCAATGTTTTAAGTTGGAAAAATTCAGATTCAGGAAGGATATAGGAAAGTACTGGTTTGGTAATAGAGTTGTGGATGAGTGGAACAAAACTCCCAAATACCGTTATAGAGGCCAGAACGTTGTGTAGCTTTAAAAATAGGTTGGATAAATACATGAGTAGATGTGGGTGGGTGTGAGTTAGACCTGATAGCTTGTGCTACCAGGTCGGTTGCCGTGTTCCTCCTTAAGTCAATGTGACCTGACCTGACTAGGTTGGGTGCATTGGCTTAAGCCGGTAGGAGACTTGACCTGCCTTGCATGGGCCAGTAGGCCTTCTGCAGTGTTCCCTTCGTTCTTATGTTCTTCTTATATATATATAAAATATATATATATATATATATATATATATATATATAATATATATATATATATATATATATATATATATATATTCTTAGTTTTCTCTGTATTAGGACTGAAAAAGCCACTCGTGGCGAAACGTTTCCTTTAATAAATGTCCTGAACTGTACATAAGTGTCTTTTTCCACAGATGTATGTCAGTGTGGATATACACAGTTGTATATGTCTCAGTATATGTACACTGAGATTTGTATCTCCCAGTGTATATACACTAAAAGTTTACATTAATCTCTATTTTAGGTAATAATTATAGTATTCTTGACTGGTGGTGCACAGTTAACATGCAGCCTTTACAACCCTCTTGTTTTTAGGGCTCATGTTGCACCAACACTTCTACACAGAAGCCTAGTGTTGCAACGTTCAATTAGCATTTAGCACTGCCCAGCCTGCAACCTGCCCATGGTATGGGGGCAGGAATATGTATCCCCGTATCGTGAAGCTTGGAAAGGAAAGTTTTTTGAAGTATAAAATACACATAAATACAGTTCATAAATTTTTATACAAAGAGGAAATTTTTAAAATTTACCTGGGGAAACACAAGAAAGTAGACAAAGGATTTTTAGTAAAGTTTTCGGGGAAACAGGAAAAGGGTTTTTTTCCTGTTTTGGGGGTTTTTTAGTCGTATAAAACCCCCACGCGGGGAAATTTTTGGCCATTTAAATCGGGGACTTCCACGGGCTTACCCGGTCAAACCCCTTTTAAAAAATATGATAGGGGATGAACCCTAGACCCAGTCCTCCCCTTTAATTTTTCCCAAAAGGCTTACCCAAGTTTTCTTTGACTCAACTGTGACATTTTTAAGTTACAAAAAATACATAAAATAAAATTGGCAATTTTTTCTTTAAAGCAAACAGATAAGGGTTAAAAGGGCATGGGAAAATAAAAAAAAAAGAAAAAAAAAAAAATGCATAAAAAAAATGGAATAAACCTTTGGAAAAACTATATTATTTTTTAATTTGGGAAAAAAACTTTCCTTAGAAAAGATTATTTAATTTTTTTTTTCCCTCAAAAAATTTTGGGCGGGAAAGGTTTTTTTAACAATATTTTTTTTTTCCGTACATTACCCCTTTTACTAGTGATTCTTTTTAATTTTAAAACTTTCCTGTTTTTTTTTTTTTTTTATTGTTGTGATGGTTTTTTTGTCCGGGACAAAATGCCCGGGGATTTCGGGACAATTTTCCAAAACCCAAGGACAATCCCGATAAAAAGGGAAATTTAATTAAGCCTACAGATAAATAATAATAATAATAATAATAATAATAATAATAATAATAATAAAAAAATTAATAATAATAAAATAAAAATAATAATAAAAAAATTTTAAAAATAACAAAAACAACAACAACAACAACAACAACAACAACAACAACAAAAACAAAAACAACAATAATAATAAAAATAATAATTAATAATAAAAAAAATAATAAAATAATAAAAAAAATAATAATAAAAAATTAATAAAAAATAAAATAATTTTTTTCAGCAGATACAATGCCCCTTACAAACATTATACAGGCCGAAAGCCCCTGTATATGCACAGAAATTTCGAGAAAAACAAAAGACTAATTTTTAAGATTAAAAGGCAATGGGCAATAAATGTAAAATTTAGGAGTTTAAAAAAGAATACAAGAAATTGATTATTCAATTATTTAAATGCTTTTGGCTTACCCCTCTAAATTTTCAATTAACCCAAAAAGGGTACCTCGTTTTCCATGGGCCTACCTTTTCGGGTTTCATTGACCCATAAAGAATCCCAGTATCCCATATTTCTAGCCTTTCACTTTCAATGATTCCAGAAAGATATCCCAGTATTCCATAGGCCTAACCTTTCAGTTTCAATGAACCAAGAAAAGGTATCTCAGTATTCCATAGGCCTAGCCACTCAATTTCAATGATCCCAGAAAGGTATCAGTATCACAGTATTCCTTAGGCCTAGCCTCTCAGTTTCATTGATCCCATAAAGATATCCCAGTATCCCATATTTCTAGCCTCTCATTGTCAGTGATCCCAGAAAGGTATTCTCCCTCATCGCGCAGCGACCAGGTCACTGGTGAACCATCCCTGCTGGAAGTCTTATCAGTAAGCAAGTTTATTTATTTATTTATTTATTTATTTAGTAATTTTAGCATACATACAGAGGTACAAAAAAATACAGGTAAGAGCAGCATGCCAAAGCCACTTATATGCATAGCATTACGGGCTGGCTTAAAATTAACTTAAGATTAACTAAGCAATGATGAAATCAGTGATAAAACATTATTGTAAACAGATAACTATAAAGCACAAGTGAGTATTACAAAGACAGGTCATATGGTTGCATGCATTGCTGTACATTCAGTCGAATGGAGTATTCTGTTAGGTAGTGTATTTAAAAAAATAATAAAGTAAGTAAGTAAGTAAGTAAGTTTATTCAGGTATACATAAATACAGTTACATAGAATTATCATACATAGCAGCATATGTGTAGAGAACCTAAGATAACCCAAAAAAGTCAGACAGAGTGACGTTATTTGACTTATATATGTTGATGCGTAAGAAAACCCCAGACCTGCTGGAAATATTTCAAATAATGAGTAAAAGGTATCCGTCCAATGCGGTTTATCTAATACAGATAATTAAATAATGCCACTGAAGGAGACAA